GCATGTCCCTGTCAGCAGCACTGTTGCAGTGGTTTTGGGATGCCCCCATCATCCATGAATCAAACTGTGACGCCCATAGGCGATGGCAGCATAGAAAATTGAACCTGGGATTGTTTTGCTATCTTGCACCACCAGTGCCATGTCGTGCCATATCTTTCTGAACGACCCTTGACACTGCGGTGGGTTCTTTACTTGACCGGTTCGACCACTTAGTTACTTAGTTGGTTCGTGAATGAAGACATTGGTAGACATGGAGATGTTGTTCCTCTTCAGCTGTCAGCCTTTTAAGTTGGAGAACGACAAAGATTCATATCATATCCTTTTAGGTGTTCTTCCTTCCACCCTTTTGGCATGTTTTCCATCGGGGTTCCTGGACTCCTCCAGAACTCCACGCGTCGCAGCCGACTGCGAAACGTGGAAGATGGCGGACCAACCACCCCGCTCTTAGGTTGGAGGCCAGTAGGGTTGAGGCCATTGCTCTTAAGTAGCTAGTGAGCTAGTTAGCTATTAGTTAGCCCATTGCGCACCATGAACTCCTCCGCTCCAAACCCGGACGCTACCGGTTACCGGCGGCCTTGCCGGCCGGCAAGCCGTTCGACTGGGGCGACGAGTGTTGCCTCCACAAACGCGTTTTGCTTGGGTTTTCATGTGGATCTCTTCCAGGGCATTAGTCTTTGGATTTGCAATGCATCCCGCGGGTGTTGCGCAGGAAATACCCGGTAGACATACAAGCAGAGCTGCTTCATAGGCCTACAAGCACATGATTTAGAAGGATCTTCAAGTGAGCCCAGCAACAGCAACTGAACCCGACGAACTGTTACCATTTGAACCTTCTCCTTCCAAGCTTGTTGTGATAATCCCTTTAAGCCATTTTGGCATCACTTGCAAGACCAGTCATAGAATATAGTTTCAGAGAATCCAGTTTCTATAGATGTTTCTAGATAACCGATGTGGTACTAGCAGCTGAAGACAGGTTTAGCTTGCCTTGGCATGCCTCAGCCTGCAACATGCCTAGTTGCTGAGTTGCACAGATTGGCAGCCTTTCCATGAAACTCCTCATCTTTGTGCTTTTGGCGAGCGCGGTGGACGTTCTCCATCCTGGAAGACCGGAGACGTTGTGGACGGCATTGTGCACGAAAACATGAAACATCGAGCCAAGGCGCGTCCGTTTGTTGCCGTGCCCACCGGATTTTCTCGAATTTGGGGATCCGGCCGCAGAAGGCTGAAGTACAGTAGCGATGCCCTTGTTAGTAGCAAGAAGCTGGCATCCAATTTGGTGTAACTCTATCCATTTGGCTTCCCACCTGTTCCAGTCCCACTCCTTCTTCAAGCCCTCCTTCCCGCTTCGCGAAATCGTCGACCCATTCGACCCGGTCGAGCCAGCGAGGCCACGCTGCGAGGGCTGGAGGGCTCGATGTGTCCCCAGAAGCTGCGCGGGATTCCCAGCGGCTTTGACTATGGCATCGGCTGTGCCTTTGTGGAGAAGAACTTGGCCGGAGTGGAGGGGAAGGCGGGTTTCATCAAAAAAACGGAAGACACGTTTGGGTTTCCGTTTGGGATTTGTTGATATCACCGGAGCCGCGACGTGTGCGCCACCCAGGGCTGTCACTGTCTGAGCCTCCTTGATGTGTGCGCCACCCAGCCGCGGATCCGCCGCGTGGATCAGCTGCACAGCGAGATGCAAAGATGAAGCGTCGAGACGCTGGGCTACTGCCGCACAGGCCGCGGTTTTGGCAGGCCACACACGCGCTGTTGCGCGCTGGGGCTTGTCTGTTGGTCGCTGTTCGGTATTGGTTTGGAGAGGTGGCAGCTGGGGCATGTTTTGTTTGGACGACTGTGGTTGGATCCACAAAAATCGACCAGATGGATGATGCGCACATCCAAAAAAACACCAGACAATTTCACAGAGTTGCATCAGCTGATGACACTCTATGGTTTGTTGATGTTTATTTTGCATGCCGCATGACTATACCGTATGACTCATGACTAATTATACCTGTGCTTGCAACTGTTGCAGGTGCCTGGGTTTTTGCTCTCAGCGGCGCGCTGCTTCTGGGAACATTGGGAGGTGTGGCGGTGCTGCTGAAGAGGAGAGGCCGTGTAGATGTCTCAAGACGAGAAGCAGGGCAAGCCCAAGCCAAAGCTGCTGCGGCTTAGAGACTTAGAGAACATTTGAGGCTGTGGTCGATCTGGATGTCCAATCACAGCGAATTTCCAAATTTTCTGTGCTCAGTACCGTGAGCCTGGCCATGTGCACCATGCACAGTGAGGAAACCTTCCACCTGTCAAATTCTCCCCGGTCCTACAGAAATCACGAAATCGAGCTCAGAAGGAGTTCAGCGGAAGTTGTTGTTTACGAAATATAGTGAGGCTCAAAATTGAAAGGTTCAGTGAACTAAATTAAAGGGAGGGGTCAGCCGAGGGGGCCCCCCCCCTCCCCTCCCTTTTTATTGATTCTTTCAATAACCTCTCCTCCCGTCGCAAAGGAATTGATATTTCAATTGCAGATTGAAACGTCTAAGGGGGGGTGGCCCCCCCCTGTAAAGTGAATTGAAAGAGGCTATTCGACTCCTCCCTCGTCCTTGTGAGAAAGCATACCAAATGCCTAGAAAAGACAATATGAAAGTCGATGTTTTTTTTTTGTGTTCGGTTGACTCAGCCAACAACACTTTGCGCTCGTGGCACAAAAGCGTTGCGTTGCCCCTCCCTCCGCGTCCCCTTGATCCTTCCACACCCCTCGCTTTCGTCCCCACTGTCCTCAAGTTGTTCTTAGGGGCCAGACAGAGACTAAGAATGAGCTCGCCATACTTTTGTCACACCCTCCTCGGCTCAGTCTCGGCCAGTTCCCAGAACGTTTGAATCGAGAGAGGAGTGCCCAAGATTTTGGTCCATTTTTGGTACACCAAGACATGTACAGATGCAAAAAACAAAAAAATAAGGTTTCCACGTCGGAGAATTGCTTGCAAGAGTCTCAATTCCCTCACCCCAGCAGCTAAATGGGTGTTTTGCTGTTGGTGAGAACTCATACTTTGCAACGTGTACACGTGTGTGGTTGCTTGTCATTGTGTTTCATTGCCATTGCTTCTCATGCCCAACTGCCCGTTCGTTTTGGGGCCAAACGGAAAACAACCAAAACACCAGGTCACCACCCGGCGACTGAGCAGTGACCCGGCACCTGAGCCGGCCACAGCCATCACCCCTACCGTTCGCGCCGCGCCGTTGGCGCCACGCATGGACTCAGCTCCCCCAAAAGTCCGCCGTCCGCGGAGCGGTGGAGTGGAGCACATCGTTCGCTGGGAGGAGGAGAAGTGATCGATTTGATGATGTGAAGGTCTCCCAGCTTTGTTGGAGGGGATCGTTTCTGAAAGGGTCTTCTCTTCATAGCAGATCTTTTGGTGTTTCTTTTTGCTGTTTGGTTCCGTGGGTGATGTGTCTCTTAGTGATTGACCAACATGGGCCCAGTCTAGCCAGTCCCGTGGTTGGACGAGAAGCTGCCTTTTGGGTGAGGAGTATGCGACTGACGATTCATTCCGCTGGAGAAATCCGACTCCAGTGGCGATGCGGCTGGTTTTGTCCATCCTACTTCTTGGAACTCCAGAAAAGCCGACAGTCTAAGCACTCCCCAGAGTTCCCTATGGAACCACCTAGTAGCTTCTTGTGGACCCTCCGGCCAGGACCACCTTCCGTGGGCTGAAGGTCTTCGTGAACCGAGAAGTGCCGTTGAGGCCGGTCGGTCCGGTGGGCGTTCGTCGCAGTGGCGAGTGGTGAAGGGAGCTCGAGGACTGGAACGATGGGATGCTTTGGCTGGGGGCTCTTGCTCCGAGTGGTTGGCCAGGAGCCCCGTTCATTCCGTTCGCTGGAGGGGGACCTGACCTGGTGGGCCCCCCACGAAGGAAGCTCGCGCTGGGGGAAAGAGCCGGAAGAGCCGTGCCCAGTGGAAATATGAGGTCAAATGACGTCATATACCATATATGTATATCACATATATATATATACCTGGACCCTGAAACGATGTCTTTTTTTCCGTCTCGCCAGAAAACATGACGCAGAAACATGCAGCAAATTCGCGATAGAAAACATGACGCCAAAATGACGCAGAAGTGACAAAAAACAACGCAGAAGTAACAAAAATCGACACCAAAACTGTTTGTTGTGTGGGTTTTTGAGCTTCGCCTGAAAATTGCCCTCACCAGAAAAAAATACGTCTTTTGCAGGGTCTAGGTATATAAAATATATTCTCAAGGCAACTTCCACCAGCTTCGTGTTTCTAATGAGCTGATGTTTCTTTTTGATGCCCCGGGCCCGTGTTGTTTTTCTACCTGTGAGCGTCGACGTCCTACATGATCTCGGAAGACAAGAACGGAAGCAGCATGTGTTGCGAACGTCCGCCATCGCAGAACTAGCCAGGCTGAGCACAGCTGCAGAAACAGTGGCCAAACACTTGACAGACTGGATGTCACAACCTAAATCAACAACCCCTAACCGTGTCTTTTCTCACTGCCGTCGACCTTGCGTCACTTGCCATGGGCGCCACCACCAGCACGTCCCTGGCTCTACTGGACGACGCTGCCTGTGAAGAAGTGTTGCGGAAGTTCATCGCGGCTGCTGCGCAGGGCAGACGAGCAGCTTGGAGAGTGCATTTTTCAGACGGGTGCGTGGTTTCTAGTGATACAATGTGATACATAGATCTAGATCTATCAGCTTTTGACGGATTTCGTCACTGAGATAGGTAGGTTCCTGCCCATGCGAAGCGGCCAAACGAAATCCATTCTCCAGGGACTACTCGTACTTCTATCTTATATTTTTAAATAGACTACAGCCCGAGTGAGGGGGTGGGTGTCCTGGTTACGGGTTGCTGAACAATATGTTTATTTGATATCGGGCTTGGGCACTTCTACCTCAGATCCAGGGGTGGATCAAGACCAAATCAGTTCCAAAACCGTTGGCACCAGTTGGAAAAACACGTCTAACTGGGAGGTCCCTTTTCCTCCGCAGAGATTGGTATGGTCAATGTGACATTGGCTCTCACGCGTTCGACCCGATTCCCGGACGTGAGCAGAAAAAGCTCGGACGTTGTTTGGCTGTCGAACGGTCGGGTTGTTTGGAAGTCGTTTTTGGTGGCCCGCAGACTTTTTGGTGGAAATCGGGTCCTTCAGAAGGGCATGCGGCATGTGTGTGTGTTCAAACGAAGGGTTTGGGGCACTTCAAGTCTTCTGAATTGGTTGGAGGCCATCGCTTCTAGGTTGGAGGCCATGGGCCATTGCTATTAAAAACAAAAAAGAAAAGGAAGAAAGGTGAAAAGTGTAGTTTGCTATTAGATTGGAGGCAATCGTTTCGTCATGGACTTCTTCAGAAAAGATAGATGTTTGGACAGGTGGAAGTGGAACAACATCCGTTTGGAATGGCCAGGAAAGACGAGTCTTCCTGTGATCCTGTGACCCGACGTTTGTTCTCGGACGACTCACGGTGTTTGTCCCTGGTAAATCGGAAGCGAAGGTGCAAAAGGGCAAAAACCAAAGGGTAGCTACTAGGAACAAGTGCATCGCTACTAGGAGCAAGGGCCTTACTAGTAGTAACAAGAAGCTATTAGAATCTTGTTACAAGTAGTTCCCGGGCAAGCCGGCGGCGGAAGTTTCGTATAAGAAGAAATTGACCTATAGGAGTGTCCACGTTCTCTACAACATGCGCGTCCTCCAGTCAAACGCACGCGCTCCGGACTTTTGACCCACGGGATTCCACGTGTGTAAGGTGTGTGCCCCCTGCAGGATCAGCAGCTCACAACAGCGTACTGGGTTGTATCTTTGCCACGACAAGAGGGGTGTATGACGAGTGGTGTATGTTGAGTGGTGTATGATGAGTGGTGTATGACGAGTGGTGTATGATGAGTGGTGTATGCTGAGTGGTGTATGATGAGTG